TTTTTCTCCATTAAGTATAATGCTGGCTGTAGGTTTGTCATATATAGCTTTTATAATGTTGAGGTACTTTCCTTCTATTCCTAGTTTTCTTAGAGCTTTTATCATGAAATGGTGTTGGATCTTATCAAAGGCTTTTTCTGCATCTATTGAGATGATCAAGTGGTTTTTGTCTTTGCTTCTGTTAATGTGGTTATTATATTTTTATTGATTTTCATATGTTGAACCACCCCTGCATCCCTGGGATGAAGCCTACTTGGTCGTGTGAATAATCTTTTTGATGTGTGTTGAATTCGGTTGAGGATTTTTGATCAATGTTCATTAAGGAGATTTGGCCTATAGTTCTCTTTATTGGAGTGTCTTTCCTTGGTGTTGGGATAAGTGTATTATGGCTTTCATGAAAAATGTGTAGGCAGTTTTCCTTCCCTTTCGTCTTTCGTGGAAAGTTTAAAGGAGGTTGGTATCAGTTCTTTCTTTAAAGTCTCTGATAGAATTCAGGCAGAGAATCCATCAGGTTCCGGACTTTTCTTTTTGGGGGAGACTCTTGATTGCCTTTGCTTCAGTTTCATTTTGTGTTATAGTCTATTCAGGTATCTAATTGTCTTGGTTCAGTTTTGGACGAGATATGTGTGTATCTAGAATTAGTCATTTCTTTAAGATTTTCAAAAATTATTTGCATATAGTTCTCGAAGTAGTCTCTTGATGTTTTCCCTGGACTTCCATTTGGTTTTGTTGTTTATCTCCCTGATGCCATCCTGATTCTACTAATTTGGGTTTTTTTCTCTCTCATTTTAGTCAGGTTTGCCAGGGGCTGTCGATTGTTTTATTTTTTCAAAGAACCAACTTTGTTTCATTAATTCTTTGTAATGGTGTTTTTTGGTTTCTATTTCATTGATTTCAGCTCTTATTTTTATATTTCTCTCCTATTGTTGTTGGGATTTGCTTGTTTTGTTTTTCTAGGAGTTTGAGATGTATCATTAGGTCAATTGATTTTGGGATCTTTCAGTCTTTTTAAATATATGCACTCATGGCTATAAACTTTCCTCTCAGGATGCCTTTGCTGTTCCATAGGTTCTGGTAGGTTGTGTTTTCATTTTCATTGACTTCCAGGAACTTTTCAATTTCCTCTTTTAAGTTCATCAATGCCCATTGTTCATTAAGTAAATGAGTTATTCAGTTTCCAGCTGTTTGCATGTTTTTTTGTCTTTACTTTTGTTGTTGAGTTCTAGTTTTATTGCAATGTGATCAGAAGAATGCTTGTATAATTTTCTATCTTTTCTTATATTTGCTGATCGCTTGCTTTGTGCCCTAGGATATGATCTATTTGGAGAAGGTTCTTTGGGCTGCTGAGAAGAAATATATTGGTAGAAGTTGGATGAAATGTTCTGTAGACATCAACTAGGTCCATTTGATCTATTGATATTTAGGTGTAGGATTTCTTTATTGATTTTTTTTGGGATTGTCCTATATATTGATGATAATGGGGTGTTAAAGTCTCCCACAACCACTGTTGTGAGTTAATATATGCTTTTAGATCTTTCAGGGTATGTTTGATGAAATTGGGTGCGTTGAATTGGGTGCATTTAGGTTGATAATTGTTATTTCCTTTTGGTCTATTTCCCCTTTTATTAGTATGGAATGTTTCTTCTTTATCTTGTTGATCAATGTAGGTTTTGAAGTCTACTGTTGTCAGAGATAAGTATTGTTACTCCTGCCTGTTTTTCGGGGGCCATTGGTTTGGTAAATGTTTTCCACCTTTCATCCTAAGCCTATGCTTATTTCTGTCAGTGAGATGGGCTCCTGTAAGCAAACAAAATTGTTGGATCTTCCTTTTTAATCATTTTCGTCAAGCGTGCCTTTTGATGGGGTGAATTAAGTCCATTAACATTAAGCGGTTAGTTTGATAGGTAAGTGGTGATTCCTGCATTTAGTTGTCTTAGTTGTTTGAAGGTTTGATTGTCGTGTACCTAGTTGAGGTTACTCTCTACTGTCTTGCTTTTTCTTTTCCTGTGGTTTGGTGCTGCCTGTTTTTCATGGTTATGTTGGTTTCACTTTCTGTGTGCAGAATCCCTTGAGAATCTTTTGTAGTGGTGGCATTTGTGGTCACATATTGTTTTAGTTTCTGCTTATCATGGAAGATTTTATTATGCTCCATCTATTTGAATGATAGTTTTGCTGGGAAGAGTATCTGGGTTGAAGTTATATCATTCAGTGCCTGGAAGATCTCACCCCATGCTCTTTCTTGCTTTTAATGTTTCTGTTGAGATGTCTGCTGTGATTTTGATGGGTTTTACCTTTGTATGTTACTTGTTTTTTTCTCTCTTACAGCCTTTAATATTCTTTCCCTAGATCTTGTACTTGTTGTTTTAATGAAATATGCCATGGGGAGTTCAATTTTTGATCTGGTCTGTTTGGTTTCTGGAGGCCTCTTGCATCTGTATGGGAAAGATTTTCTCTAGATTTGGGAAATTTTCTGTTTTATTTTGTTGAATATATTACGCATTCCCTTGGCTTTTTGCACCTCTTCTCCTTCTTCGATGCCCATGATCTCAGGTTTGTCTTTTGATGGATTGTGAGTTCTTGCATTTTTTTCACAGGTCTTCGAGTTGTTTATTAATAGTTCTTTGGTTTTTCTTTAATTACAATTTCACTTCGAGTTCTGAGATTCTGTCTTCTGTTTGTTCTCATTCTGCTGGATTGGCCTTCCATTTTGTTTTGCAATTCTGTTTCGTTCTTTTTTCTGAGGTGTTTCCATATCCTGAGTCCCTTCCTCTTTAATTTGTCTATTTTTGTCCTGAGTTCATTTATCCTTTATTAATCGGTTCTTTTGTTTCACTTTGGTGTTTATATAGTGCTTCTATGGTTCTTTTTATTTCTTCTTGTGCTTTTTCAAATTCTCTATTTTTGTTTGTCTTGGAATTTCTTGAGTGTCTCCTGTACATTTTGGTTGACCCTATCCAGTATCATCTCTATAAAATTCTCAATTGATTACCTGTTTATTTCTTCTTTAGATTGTTTGTGAGGCTTCATTGGGTTTCTTTGGCATAGTTTTCTTTCATTTTGTTGGAGTTTGATCTGAGTATCGTTTTCTTCAATTTCTCTCTGGTTCCTGTACTAATTTTTTTGCTGTTGGGGAACTGGTTTCCCTGTTTTTCTGTCTTCCCGTTCATTCGTCTTGTAGTGTTGTTTATTGTCCCTTTACTGTGTGCGATTAAGTATTTGGCTTGTAATAATAACAATGGTATATTTAGATGGAAGGGTGAGAGGAGAGGGAAAGCAAGAAGTTAAAGGAAAAGGGAAAAACAAATAAAACAAGTGAAAAAAACAAAACAAACAACAAAAAAAAGTTTAAAAAAGAAACAGGGAGAGATAGTGTACTAATCAACAGTAAGCTGAACAGGCATTAGAGAGACAAGAGAGGATTGAGAATAAAAAATAAAATAAAAAAAGAAAAAAGAAAAAAATTAAAATTCCAAGTTCAAATGCAATAAAGTTTCAGTCTTAATAATTTTGGTGTCATCCCTCAGCCTCCAATCCTGGAGATTATGTCTCAGAAGTAGTTCTGTCTTTTTCTCATCAAAGGGAAAAAAAAAAAACACACAAAAACAAAAAAAACACCATAAAGTGTCCCAAGTTCAAATGCAATACCAGTTTCAGTAAGTTTTTCCAACTGCAGGTGTAATTTGGTTGTTCTTCTATCAAAGGTAGGAGATAAAGAAAAAAAAAAGGAGTCTGAGGCAGGTCTGTGAATATTATCTGCATCTGGGCTGGTTGCCCACTTGCTGTCAGCCTGCCTGTTGCCTGGAGGCGTTGTTTATGCAGATCTGGGTGAGCTTAGCACTCACCCTGGCCCCGCAGGCTTTGTTTACTCAGAGTTCTCCTGTGCGTGAGCCTTGCTACAAGCTTTCCCTTTCCAAGCACACTGGGGGAGGTGACCCTGCACCCGCTTTCTCAGGCCTGCGTGTTTATTTACAGTTCATGTGGGAGGTGGGTCTTCCCTCCTCTCCTGTGGAATTTTCCTCCCTCCGCCACTTTTACAAGTTTTCCCGCTCCTGGTTGCTGGGCGGATGCCACCGCTCCTGCCTTCTCCAGCCGGTTTGTTGTGAGGGATTTCCCCTCACACCCTTCAGCGTTCAGGGCGCCCCGCCCTCTTTGCTACGTGTCTTTTTTGTTGTTATTGTTATTATTCAGTTTTTTTCTCTTTTTTCCCTTGGTGTGGGTCGGTCTGTCCAGGGGGCTATGCTGATCTGGCCCAGGGTTGTCTGTGGGAGTACTGCGGTACCGCTTAGCTCACCTTGTGGTCCGCGTCTTCCCAAGCCATCTGGGCGCTGTCCTCTGGTGGCGTTGCGGGAGCCCTGCTGGTTTCTGTTCTCTGTTTTTGATTTTTGTTTACGATAGCCCTACTGGGAGTTTCCTTTAGCAACTGCCTCACCCTTGGCTTCTGGTTGGATTGAGTTGGTTTTGCCTGATTGGAGGCATCAGAAAGAGATTAAATATGGGAAGAGAGTGAATAGAGGGGGAGGATCGCTTCTTCCTTCTGGTTGCCATGGGTGGCTCTGAGACCCTTTCGTAAAGAACCCAGTACCCAGAAGGTGCCTGGCCCTTTCTACTCATCTACACTGGGTTCTGGACCCCACTTTCACCCCTGGGAAGCCCTTCAAGTGTCCCCTCTATTGCCAGCCCGGGGTGCTCCCTCATCCTTTGTTAGTCGCCCTCTCTGTGGACAGTCTTTTAAAAACTTTCCTAAAACAGTTTGAGTGTGCTGTGCCCACTGTCAGGACCTCTACTAAGAAAAGCATTCCTGAGATATGGGAAGGTGGGAGGGTGAACCAGGTGGGAACTCGTAGACCAGTGTGTGGCTGAAGGGCAAGGTAGGCATGGAGATGGGCTAGACTAGACCAGGAATGGCTTTCCATGCTAAACCAAAGAGGATGAGGTCACTGAGTGTTCTGCAAGTGTCTGTGACCTGTGTCCTGTCCTAACATCTCCTTCCTCCCTTTCAGGAAGTTCCTGATGCTTCTGCTGACCTGATCCCACCTCCTCCTACCACAGAACAGAGATGGAGAGGTGTCTGGGCTCCCACCTTTGTGGCTGTTTGGCTGTTCTCATCCTCCTGCCCTTCCTGGGCCTCGCCCAGTATGAAAGCTGGCCCTACCAGCTCCAGTACCCTGAGTACTTCCAGCAACCAGCCCCTGAGTACCACCAGCCCCAGGCACCCTCCGATGTGGTCAAGATTCAGGTGCGCCTGGCAGGACAGAAGAGGAAACATAACGAGGGCCGTGTGGAGGTCTACTATGATGGCCAGTGGGGTACAGTATGTGATGATGACTTCTCCATCCATGCTGCCCATGTCATCTGCCGGGAGCTAGGCTATGTGGAGGCCAAGTCCTGGACCGCCAGTTCATCCTACGGCAAGGGGGAAGGTAAAAAGCTCTGTGCTTTGGAACTGAGTGCAAGTCACCTGGCAAGACAGGGAGTAGTCTTCCATAGGTTAGCTTGCAAATGAATCTGTAATTGCTATCAGGTAAAATTCCTGATAGCTCTCTTAGTGCTCATGCAGGCTCTTCTCTGTAGGAAGGTGGGTAGGAGGGATCTCCAGGAGAAATAGAGGAACCGGTCATCCATATATGCCCAGGACTTTACTGTTTTGAGCTTGGAAATAGGCAAACCAGGGTGATTGGTGACCCCAGGAAGAGGGCGAAATCAGTTTATATACGTTTCTCCAAGTCACAGGCCACCTTGGGGCTGCACCATTGGCACAGGGGAAGCTGTGTCTTACTCCAAATTCTCAAAGCTGAGCCTTTGGCCCTTTTTAACAAAGACTCCCCAGAGGCTAGCATTCTGCCAGTATCAAGTTCATTGTTTTAAAACTGACGTACTGTTGTGGCCTTGGTCCTGATGGGAACAGAGTTGCTTTGGGTTTTTTACCTTGGTTGTCCTATTCTTTTCTTCTTTATTGGATTCAAATCAATTTATCTAAAAAGAAAAAGTTGTAAGAGCTTTGAGGGAGGGCAAGTTTGATCCTTGAGCTCTTTCCTGGTTCTGAGCTAACTAAGCAGAGCCATGTGTTACTTATTGACAGGGATACAGTCAGAGAAATGAGTCATTAGATGATTTCGTCATTGTGTGGCATCATACAGTGTGCTTCCACAGACTAAGACAGTTACTGGGTCACTAGGCAATGAGATAGAATCTTATTGGAACAACATCATATCTGTGGTCCATTGTAAACCAAAATGCTATTATGTGGTGTGTAATTCTACATGCTTTACAGGAAGACATGCATCCTCTTCAGTCTGTTTCCCCATCTGGAAGATGGGCTATTTGAAACCTTGATAGTCTATGTTCCCAGTTGAGAAAGTAGGTATGAGTGAAAGGCATCATTAAAAAAATGCTCTTCCAGGAGCTGAGTCCCCACCCTGGGTTGGTAATACAAAGGCACTGTTCCCCTGGCTGAGCTGTTTTCAGTGCTTGGCACCAGTTGGACTACTGGTAAACAAAGAAGTGTCCACACTCCCATCCTTGAATTGTCAATGCTGCCATAACTGTGTAAGTCTTTCCTGAGGGACTTAAAAATACAGAACACTTCAGATTCGACCCATGATATCTTGGTCTCATAGGTCTGAGAGGTTTGGGGGCAGTGAAATAAACAACAGTCAGGCTCCTCCCTGCCAGTCCTTCTTTCTGTCATTCTACAGATTATAGAAGAAAGGCTGCACCATCTCATGCATGCCTCAGTTTCATGCAATGGAAACTTTCCTGTTGGATAACTGGCTCAAGAGGCAGCACTTACAGTCAAATATTCTCAGAAACTCACTCTGACCAGAGCGAACAGAGATGGCAGCCAAAGCAGTCAAGATGATAGCAGACAGAGGGCCTTTGGGACCCATTTCCTCTCTTTGACAGAACTTCCAGTATGCTTCCATACATCTGCATCTCTATTTATTCTACTAGCTGAGTGATCCAGGGCTAACATCAGATTCATGTTTTCCTTCCCAAGTTCTCTGGTCCTCATTATTTTATGACAAGCACTCTCCAACAGCATTAGTTTTTTGTCCAGTCACAAATTAATTTTATTTCTACTTACATTTAAAAGTTTGTCATCATCACTTGCCTAGCAAAAAGCAAGGCCCTGTGTTTGATCCCCAGCACTACAAAAACAAAACAAAACAAATGAACAAAAAAACTCCTTTGTCATCTGGCAAGGTAGTTGTGGTTTTTCCCCTGCAGAAACAGGCATGGTGTGGCTAAAGGGAAAGGCTTACATGGGTGAGACTTTGCTGTCAGAGGCTAATGACAGGCAAATAAAGTCATGGCCTATGGAGCCCATGCTGATTAAGGAGGGAAGTAATGGAGGAGTTGAAGGATTGTGTGCAAAGCTACTCCAATCAGTGGATGGAGCTTTCTGCTGAGATTATGATTCTAGCAGGAATATGCTAGAAAGATGGCCAGAGGGGATGCAGGTGCAAAGAAGAAGAATTGAGATGGATATGAAGGAGGGTGCAATTATTGGTAATGACAGGCTGAGCTGTTACTATAAACAGCAGCTGGAAGTGGGTGGAGGAAGGTCACTGGAGCTAGACAATATCATAACCAAGAGGCCACAAGTCCTAGAAAGGCCATCTGTGTGGACACCAAAGACATCAGGGTTTAGCAAAAACCAGAGAGAAACAGATGCTAGGCTAAATGAACACTGCACTGTGTCCAGGGCTTTAAGAGTTAAGCCATCTATGTAAAGTGGCACTTGATTTGCATCATAAGAAACCTAAATATAAATGTATTTGAATTTCATCAGCATCAGTTGAGTTTTATTCTAGCACTGGGTATGTGGTGGGTACTCAGTATTAGCTGACTGATTCATTTTGATGTGGGAGAATACAAAAGAGCAATTGGTAAAATAGTTTGTGGTACAGTGACCTTAGACTGTGGTCAGTGCCCTGGGGAATACCCTGGTGGAGTCTAACCTGAAAGTGCACAGGCTAGAAACTGCAGCTGACCCCATAATGGGTTGCCTGCCCTCCTGGAGTCTCCCAACTTTTTAAAAAAAGTTCAGACCATAGTAATGAAGTCAGGGCAATCACAAGAACCCCTAAGAGTTTTCTAGCTTGGCCTGCCAGTGGGTCTTACCTCCTACAGCATCTCTGAGTCTGTGTAAGGTATGGGCCCTTTTAGAGAGTTCTACATAGGGCACCTTGTCTATTTCCTACCTTCTCGGTGGTTTTCACAGTAACCAGAGCCAAGATGGGGGATCTCTGCCCAACCACACCTCCATTCCTGATCATAGCATCAGAGCCAGTGGCCTGCAGGTTCCAATTTGGCCAACTCCCATTGTCCTGGGATGCACCATCCCAATGGAGTTTCATTGGTGATCTTTCTCTTCCAAAGGATCTGTTAATTTTCATACCTGTTCTTTCATAAATTTTTTAGAATAAGTGAGTGGAAAAAATAAAACAAAATTTTGCCTCTAATTGAATGGCTTTTTTGTGTCCCAAATGTGAGCCTCATCTTGTGTTCTACCACTTTCGTAGCAGCCAGATGCTGTCTAGATGCTAGAACTAACCTGCATTCCCATAGGCAGACCCATACGCTGGCCTTATTGGAGTCTGGACGGTCCAGTTGATGGATACTAAGCATGTCAAGAAAAGAAAACAAAAAACATTGCCATGAAATCAGGCCAAATAGTGTACCATGCATGGTGGTGTTATCTTGGGTTAAGTACAGATTTATAGATCTGCCATCTAAGAAAAATCACTGGCTAAGTTTATTGAGACAGTACGATTTTGGGGGGCTATTAAAGTTGTAGGAGCTCAGCTCCCTCAGCACTCCAGGGTGTTAATTTGCCCCATATCCAAAAGTAAAGCCATCCACTGTAGTACCTATGTTTTGTAGCTTTCACAGTCCCTTTGAAGGTGCACTGACCTGCTTCTAGGTCCCTGAGCTGACATGCTTCCAGTTCCCAACCAAGGGTGGTTTCTTTCGCTGCCAATGGAATAAGGGGACTGCTTCTTTTCACCATCTGCCCTGCAGCAGCTGAGCTACATAAGGTGCTGAGGGAGGGGCCCCCCTGAAAAGGTGGAGGGTCTCTTCCGTTGCTAGGACTTAGCAAGACAAACACCAGCTTGTTGTAGAAACGGCCATCGATTAGAGAACGTGTGTTTCAGTGGGGCCTGACGACTTGGAAGCCAGCCCAGATTGAGCAACCAGTTGGCAAACCTCAGCCCAGATGTTTTCAATCAACTCTTTGTTCCCACAAAGAGTCCGAGGCACTCTCTTTTTAGCCCAAACCAGCCATCCATCAGAACAGACACGTTCTAGCCAGCCTGCAAGTCAGGAGACTGGCCCTGGGTCCTCCCTGACCTTAAAGTGCCTCAGCTTCCTGCCTGGATCTTCTTATCTCTACAACGGGAAGTTTTTCTTTTTTGTTTTATCATTTTTTTCTGCTTTTATCCTAACATCATGGAACCAGTAGAATGCCTTGTTTCTCTAGAGGAAGTAAAAGAGAGGTTGAATATATCCTAGGCCCATCTATTGTCTTACTGTGTCTCCGTGGCAACCTGTGAGTTGGGCATCATTATTTTAGAAATAGGAGCAAGGCTTGGCTAAGCAGTGCCCAAGTCTGTGGTACATGGGACATGAACTCAGGTTTGTCAGACTCCACTGTTCTCCAGGCTTCTGAAAAGGGCCATGAGAAAAAGGAGAGATTTTCTTTTCTTTCATTTTGTAGCGTATTTATAAAAATCACTACTTGAAAACGTTTTAGCATCTTTTTAAATTTTTATTTTTAATTGTGGCCACAAACACATAACAAAATTTACATCTTAACCATTTTGGAGTGTGTACACAGTTCAGTAGTGTTAAGTGTGTTCACATTGTTCTGCAACCAATCTCCAGAACATCTTTCTTCTTGCACACCTGTACCCACTAAACAGCCACTCCCGTCCTCCCTCCTGCCAGCCCCTGACCACCCCCATTCTACCTTCTGTTTCTGTGAGGTAGACCACTGCAGGTGCCTCATATAAAATGGAGTCAACCAGTATTTGGCCTTTCATAACTGGTTTATTCCATTTAGCATAATGTCCTCTAGGTTGTCCATGATGTAGCGTGTGTTTGATTTTTTTTTTTTTTTTTGCCAACCCTCAGGTTGAACTCAGGGCTTTACACTTGTGAGGCAGGCACTCTACTGTTTGAATCATGACTCCAGACTTTCTTGCTCTGGTTGTTTTTGAGGTAGGGTCTTGCTCTTTGCCTAGGCTAACCTGAACCATAATCCTCTTATTTTATGCTTACCGTAGCTGGGATGGCAGGTGTATGCCACCACGCCCAGCATTTTCCAGTGAGATGGGATCTCACAAACTTTTTTTGTCCAGGTTTGTCTGGAACCACGACACTCCTGATCTCAGCTTCCCAAGTAGCTACAGGCTACCATGCCAGCTCTTTTTAATTTTTTTGGTGGTACTGGGGTTTGAACTCAGGGCTTTGTACTTGCATTGCAAAGCAGGTGCTCTAACTGCTTGAGCCATACCTCCAGTCCATTTTTTCTCTGGTTATTTTGAAGATGAGGGGGCAGGTCTCACAAACTACTTACCTGGGCTGACCTCAAACTGAAATTCTATCGACCTCAGCCTCCTAAGTAGCTAGGATTATAGGCGTGCACCACCAGCACCCAACATTGTTTGTGATTAAACTTCTAGCACTTTGCACATTGAATTCTCTACTTAGCACAAGGAGGTAAAAGTTACAGGGGGTGAGCAGAGTTCCATGGTGGCCTTGTGGAATGTGAAGAGGTGGCTCTGATGAGGTAGTGTGACTGGCCCATCTCTGAACCAGGCACAGTAAACAGTGGGACACTAGAAGTCCACTGAACAGGGATTTGAGGCCCAGGTTCTGGACTGGCTGTGGCCTGGCACCCTTGGGCTGCTATCTGAGCCAGGGTGTCATCTTCTGAGAATTGAGAATAATCATGGCACCTCTTCCCCATGGACTGGAAAGCTCAAGGAGCTTGCACATGGAAATGCCCCCAAAACTACAACCCCTCAGGCAAGAACAGCCTGGACTCCCCAGGGGTTAGAGGTCAGCTGCTGCAGGAGGCAGGTGAGGCTGGCTTGGGCTGTAGTTGCTACCAGTTTTGGGGATCTATGGGCCAGCAACAAACTAGGCACATGCTATGTTCTGTCTGTCCTCAGTACACACCTCTGAAGCTCAGATGGTGTCCCCACTGTGCTGGCAGAAAAGAAACTTTGACCAAAGCTGCAAAGTTAAAAGTGGCTGACCCAGAATCAAACCCTGACTATTCTCCCAAGCCCCTGTTCTTCCTGCTAAACCATGTGGCTTCTGGGTTAAATCTGATTTCTATCCTGATTTTCCTCAGTCTTCATCTCCTAAATCACACCAGCTGCCTACTCTGGCAAGAGAACCATGGTGGTCTAGGACTAAGTGTTATCTCTACATGATAAAAATCAATTGATAGACACATGCACTTACCAAAATTAGAGGAAATTCTCTTTCCACATAAAACTGTGGCGTCCCCAGCACCAGAACCTGCACTGACATGGTGCTTGGTTCTTTCCTTCTCTTCCTTCAGGGCCCATCTGGATGGACAATGTCTACTGCACTGGCAAAGAGGCAACCCTGGCAGCCTGCTCCTCCAATGGCTGGGGTGTCACTGACTGCAAGCACACAGAGGATGTTGGCGTGGTGTGCAGTGACAAAAGGATTCCTGGGTTCAAATTTGACAATTCATTGATCAACCAAATAGAGGCAAGTCGTGCTTTTTTTTTTTTTTTCCCCTAGTGTTAGGGCTTGAACCTAGGGCCTTGCACAAGCTAGGCAGGTGCTCAACCACTGAGCTATATCTCAGTTCCCTCATGCTCTTGATGACTTCTTTGTGTGAATCTTTTTCTTCTCCTGTGTAATATTTCTTGCCCACTTATTTCAAGAAGTGCTGTGAGCACTGGGCGACCCTAACTGGATTTGCTGCCAGGGCAGCTTAGGGGGCACTTTGTGGAGAACAAGATGCTGTCAGTGGAGCAAAGGGATTCCAGAGACAAAGGTGTAGAGTATGGCAGGGGATGAGCAGGGAGTGGTGTTCAAGAGGTGTACATCTGGAGGCGTGTGAACTGAAAACTAGAAAGGTGGGCATGAGGAGCTTGCCTACGGGCTGGAAAGTGTATCAGTCACCACTTGCTATCTAACAATTTGCCCCGGATTTTAACATAACCATTCACACGCTTTCCGAGGGTCAGGAAGACATGAACATCTGGGCTACTTGATTTGCTCAGTCTTTAATGAAGCTGTGGTCAAGCTGTTGGCTGGGAGGAGGATTCTTGGGAGTTGACTCACTTGGTTGTTGGCAGGCTTTGGGTTCTTGCTGGCTGTTGGCTGGAGCCCTCTGTTCCTCTCTATGTGGTCTCTGCATAGGCAGCCTGAGTGTTCTCTAGACATGGCGGTTTTCTTCCCCAGAGCAAGTGATCCTTAGGAGAGTGAGAGAGGCAGTGCCAGGTAGGAGCCACAGTCTCCTAATCTTGGAAGTGATGTGCCATTGTTTCTGCTGTACTCTCTTGGTCACACAGACTAACCAGGTACAATGTGTGAGGCAATGACACAAGGTATTAATATAGAAGGTGGAGATTGTTGGAGCCATCTTGGATTTGGGCAATCACTGTACACTTGTTCCCAAATCTACCTAAGAATCGGAGTCACTTTACCTATGTGGATACTGGTTTCCTCCCTGACCTACTTAGTTGGAATTTCCTGCCATGAAACTAGAAAAAAAAAAAAAAAGAAAAAGAAAAAGCTCTGCCTGATTCCTATGTTGCCAGCCTGACAAGTCAGCACTTGGAAATGGCCAACTTTCTACATTAATGGCTCAGTTTCAGATTGAGCTTTTCAGCGACTTCTCCACCCAAACAACTAAATTACTATGCCCATCTTGCACCCCTGTGTGCACGGCATGTGGGGCTCAGGACAGGTGGACTTGGCCACAGAGTTATGCTCAAGGAGCGTGTCCCCAAGGGACCATGGGACCTGCTATGAATCCAGGCCCAGGAGCTTCACTGTGCCTCAGTCTGTAGTCAACCCCAGTACCAATGCTAAAGAAACCTTTCTTTGGACTTGAAATTGCCCCATTTGGGCTCCAGAGGGAATCCTCCCCAGTCTGGAGTCCGTAAGTTTTCCTCTCCTGACTCACACTGCCCTGCTCCTCTCTCCAATGTTTCCAGAGCACACCATGCACATTGAGGACTGGTCCAGCTTGCAAGGAGCATGGAAATGAGTCTCACCCTTCCTCAGCTGGAAGGGAGAGGCCACTTCTAGTCTACAGCTTCAGATGCATTGCATCATTTGTGATAACCAGAGTGTACTGGGAGCTGACTCATGGTTATTGAGACTAGAACAGAAATGGCAGTGCAGCACTTCCGAATCAGGTTATGAAAAAACATGGCTCCCCTTGGGTGCTGCCTCTCTCTGTATATTTAGTAACTGAGAGTTACTGATGGCAACTTGTCTTTACATGGTGTCGATGATGTGGGGAGGTGGGCTGTGCAACCCACGTGCAGAGAATGTCTTATCTCCACCCTTCATAACCTTGTATGGGACAGTTAACACCACTTGTGTGTCTTATCTCCGATGAGACTGGAAGCCCCTGAAGGACAGGAGTGGCAACTTAGTCACCATTGTAATCAACAGATGTCCTTCTAGGTACCTCATGGGTACAATAGCTCCAAATACCAAATTTTCTTTTCCCTAGAAATACACATCAGAAATCATAATTCCTTTAGGGGGAAAATCTCCCAGAATCAAATATTAAACTAAACAGTAATGAGAAACACATAGGAGCAAAGTGTTACTTCATGGGATTGTCCGAACAGCACAGTAAGCTTATTATAATACAGTGTCTTCAGTGGGCCTCCACTTAGCCTAGAACCTCAGGATAATCCACATGAGTGTCAAGTGAAGGAAAGCCCAGGCTTCTTGGCATAAGAAAGGCATCAATGCATGAATAAAAAGAAGATCATGCTAAGGCCAAGTGCACAGGCCCTGCTGAATCTACAGTCAGCCAGAGGGTTCCCAGGCTAGATGTCCACAAAGGTCAGATGACATCTGCAGCCTCCATACTTTGCATTTTCCTAGAAGGCCTCCGTCTTGCTGTCACACAGACCAGACAGGTGGCCGTGGCTTGGGTGGGGCTTTCTAGTCTAGCCACAGACAGAGAAGGAACTTTCAGCTGATGCGCCACCCCCAGGACCTCCCTTGGGTATCTGCTAAAAGTAGGTCATGCAGGGGCCTAGATTCATGCTTACTGTCGGCGCTGGCCTGATGGGGAGGGAGCCGCCTGGGCCACCTACAGGGGATGTTTGTGGGATGCAGAGAAGTTTCTCCAAAATACCTCATGGAATGGACTGTGTCAGTAGCTGAAATCATGGAATCATTCCTCTTGGCTAAAGAAATGGCCCCATATTAAGATTTTTGTGGATGAGAGGAAGAGACGTGGCTTTGATGGCCATGCACTTAGGTGGAGTCATAGAACACTGACTAATGATACCAAGGGAGATTGGTGACTAATTTAGTATGAACACAGTGAATGGTCTGTAATGGTGTGCCCTAGGGCTCTGCTCTTGCCTACCCATCATGCATCAGGAATCTGCATGGAGATTAAAATGTGGACTGATAAAATGTATAGGAGGAACAAAACCAGGAGAAATTGCTGGAATATAAAATTGTGGAATGAAGATTTAAGAAAACTGCAGGAAGGCTGAAATAATAGACCTCAAATGCAACAATTGTATTAGGAATGTCTGTTACATTTTGAGCTGAAGGGAACTTGGATATACAGTAGTCCATGGGGAAAAAATCAGCCACAAGAGTGCAGGTGAGAAGGAGAGCGACTGAAAAGCATTGATTTTTTTTTTTTTTAAATCTCAATGTTGACTAAAGCTTAGCATAAATTAAGTGTGTGACATGGTTGCTTTGAAATACAAGCCGGGTATAGGTGATTCACACCTATAATCCTAGCTACTTGGAAGGCTGAGATCTGGAGGAATGAAATTTGAGGATAGCTTGGGCAAATAGTTCTTGAGTCTCCATCTTCAAAATAATCAGCACAAAATGGAGAGGAGGTATGGCTCAAGCGGTAGAGCACCTACTTTACAAGTGCGAAGCTCTGAGTTCAAAGCCCAGTTCTACCAAAAAAAAAAAGTGAATGTAAATTGTTACACTGATAGAAGGGCTGTTTCAGTGAAGTCTTTGATTTGGAACTGGACCAGGTCACCCAGGGAGGGGCCCACAGGACAGAAACCAGTCTGGAAATCCCATCATAGGAGACACTGAAGATTTTTCATTAAGAAAAGTGATATGGAGGGAGGCATGTCAGTTCTTTTCAAATATTTGAAGTACTACCATGGAGACAAATGTTTATAATTTACTCCAGCTCCCAGAGAAAGTTAGGCTGAGGGGCAGGTAACGGGAGGCAGTTTTCAGCTGGTGAAACCCCTGTGTACTGACCTTCCCTCAGAAGTGGTGGGCTGCTTATCACTGGAGGAATGGTAAGAACGGGATGACCCTCTGCCAGAATACTGCGGTCAGATGCCTGCACAAGGAAGGAGATGGAATTAGGTGATTGACAAATTCTAAGATCCCCTTTTACCTGAGTCTGTGAAAACACACCCACCCCATGCCGGAGGTACCCATTAAGCTGGCTATTGGCAGTGTACACCATTGCACAAATCATCACCACCTGTGTGTCACTCCCCGCTCCACACACATACAAGGAGAAGGGATGCAAACTAGTGTGTGTGCTGTGTACTCTTTCTGCCTCTTCTCTGGCCCCCCACAACTTTGACCTTGAAATCAAGTATGGACTTTGCATCCTCACTCTTCCACATCTAGGTTGGGGTTTAAACCCTTCCTTGACATCTGGCAGCTTGGGTCCTATAAATTCAGAGTCAAATGCAGTCGAAAGTGAAGTGTGAGTTGATGCTTTTTCCATTAACTCCTAAGCTAATGGAGGGGATGCAGACACTCCGCTCCTCCCCCTCCCCACCACCACCACCTGCAGAGTCATGGGCCAGCCTCTGTGACATTCACCCTTATTGACCCCTGGAGATGAGGACAGATCACAGACTTATAGATGACCCCACAGGCTTGTGCCTCCTCCAGAGTGCAAGAATTCCCCAAAGCAGAGAGTGGAAAAAAACTGCATCAGTCTAGACTAAGTTCATCCCCTCAGGGATGTGTGCCAAAGGTGTGAGTCACAGCCCCAGCACCTGGTTGAAGGGATTTCACTTAATCACCTAATTGTGCTTCCCTGGATTTTTTTTGACAGAATTTGAACTCAGGGCCTCGTGCTTGCCAGGCAGATGTTCTACCTCGTGAGCCATGCCCCTAGCCCTTTTTGCTTTAATTTTTCGTTTTGTTTTGTTTTCAAATAGGGTCTTTCATTTTTGCCTGGAGCCACGATCCTCCTACCTATCCCTTCCAAGTAGGTGGTGTTACAGCTTTGCACCACCAGCTCATCCAGGCAATTAATTGGGAAAGGTTGCCATTCTCCCACTTTCTAACACAGATTGTACTGTCCTGTCTTGCTCTGGATTCTCCATTTCGGACCCCAGAGCTGAAAACCTGGGTTCCAGTCTTAGGAGACCAGCACTGGTGTCTGTGTCCACAGTGACTGAACCCCTTGAGTCTCTGGACACAGCAGTGGAAAACACATTTGGCTGGATAGAGGGAAAATAAGTCTTGGTTATCAAAACTTTTTATGAGGG